CTTACATGATGTGATACAATATATGGAGAAGTTCTTTTATAATCTTAACTTGCGCCTCTTTAGACAGAAGCATATTACGCTTGAAGGTTGTTGGAGGCCTCATTTTAAAGTGAATGATGTTTCAGCAAAGAACAAGAGCACAGTGAAAAAAGGCACACCTCTGAACTTCTGAACTATTCTCATCGAGGTAAGGGAATTTTTAGATTTTCTTATATGGTTTGCAGTGTATTTGCTTTCTGACCTGTTCGCTTTCCATGAACATTTTTAGTCTTCTTTGATCTAGAAACATTCATTTGTTTTTTTTTCTCGAAAACTTTATGATTTTTTTCTCACATTCTTCTAATACGGTTCTTTTTCAGTGTTTAATATCATTCATTTGACTTTTTTTGTTTGTTCTGGGTTTCAATTCTTTTGATTTAGCCTTTTTTGATAGATTTGTATTGTGTGCACATGGGTTTGAGGCGATAACTATTAACGATAAGTACGAAAATCATTTGCAAGGTTTGTCTCCTTTCAATTTTTTGTTATAACTTATTACTTTAAACATAACTAACCTTACAAGTTGAACTAACAACACCTACAAAGTGAATAAAGTTTTTAAACAGCAATGCAAACTTAAAAACTTTAGTCAGTAGTCTACAATTGAAAGTTTTTAACATCACTCAACAGTGTAATCCTTCCAAGCTCTCAATGGGTAAAAGAAGAAGATGGTTCTTTGGGTAGGAGAAGATCAATGGTAGATGATGTGAACAGTCCAAATCCAAGGAGAGCATCTTCTCAAACATTATTTCTCCATCCAATGCTTTGGGCAAATATTGATGATGATGATAAATTTCTTCTTAGTGACGGACTGGTTAACTTTACCACTAGAGAAACGTTAAAAATATTGACTCTTATTGTATCCCACTAAAAGGGTAAGATCTAATAAAGTTTATTTGATGTTATTTAGTCTCTTTTCCTCTCTTTCTATTATTTTAGTGCTATTAGTTCACTATTTCCCCCTTTATTGGGCACCATTGGCACAAAGTGCCTTCTTAGCTTGTTTAAATAATAAAATTGAAAATAACTTTTTAGCCATATATACATATACGATGAATCGAAATGTGATTTTTTTTAGGGAACCAAAATCTAAAGTTTGGTATGGGATGTGTGCAATATATATCGTACACCAGATTGTACGTTATTTCTCATACATTCGTAGTAAATATTTATTTACGAGAAACTGAAAATTCGAAAAAAATGTTCTGTATTAGTTATCGAACTACTGAAAACTCATTTTTAAATAATAGAATACTCATTTTCAAGCAACTGAATACTCATTTTTAAGTAACTGGATAGTCATTTTTCCAAAATTCAACCATGTTTAAAAATAGTATTCTGTTACGGAAAATCGGAAAATATCAGTGAATGTCGCATCAAGTGGAATAACACCATTGCTTTTGTTAAGAGGAAGAACAACTCATTCACATTATAAAATCTCGTTGAACCTGTTATATCCCCTAGTACTACACCTGATCCTCAAATCCTTAAACAAATCAGTGGAATCATGTCTAAGTGTTACGATCCTTTCTGGAATGAATTCTCCAACCCCAAACCATATTACTTAACCCTGACAACCTTGAGCCTATCTCCATCCTAAAAAGAGCCGTATACCCTGCCCAGACTACCCCACTCCCTACTTGAATCACTCCATCAAAATAACACGTTTTGTGCCAAAAAAAAAAAACCATAAGTCAATTTCCTTTTCATTTCCCTAAGCTAGGGCCGAAACACACCAAGCCAAACAACCATATTTCATCACCCAACATCCCACAAACATTGTCCCCCCCTTGTCCCCTAGTACAACCGAAATAACAAGCACAACAAGCCAAGGGATATTTTTGATTACTTTGACCTTTAAACCACCATAAAAGCCACCCTATAAAAGCCATATTTCTCACACCCCACTGTCCCCCACTATGGCAGAATGAATCACTCCCCAACCACCAAATATTCA